CCTCCCCCCTCCCCACGATGAGAACCTACTCTGCCTCTAGAACCGTAAACCAGCATGGAAAGCAGTGGTTGAGCAACGGGTGCTCTTTCTCTCAACATATTAAAGACATTGTGTTCTCAGCGCTGTGTCACAAACATTTCAAAATCAAGACGATACTCAACAACACCACACGCAACAATAACGACTGTACAATAACCAAACACAACAAACGAACAAAAAGCCAACAAACAAGCAAACAAACAAGCAAACAGACAAACCAACAAAAAATGCCAGCAGCCGTTTATTCTGGGTCACCGGTAAATCTGCGAGAATCGACACAGCAAAACTCGACAATCGCGAGTGTAAATGCGGCGTGCATCGAATCCTCTCCTCAGGCGCCTCGCTTCAGTTGGCAACCATGGCAGGTTCAGCTAAACGCTGCAGTATTCTGCTGATTAGAAATCGATACTGGATGATTGACACACAAATAACAAATCTGGTTTGGCTGTTCTGGACGCCTTTCTCGTGTTCGGTGATTTTCAACGCTGTCTGCACGAACGTTTGTTTAGAGAGGAGATTGAGAGAGTGATAACCATTTTGTAAATTACTGTTGATATAAGGAAGGAGTTATAACTGGTTAATATGATAATATTAATCTATACGCTACTAACAACCTTCCAGCATAAGTTTTGGTTGTTTTCGAAAAAAAAAGGAGGAGGAGGAGGAGGAGGAGGAGGAGTTTTTGAAAAATAGGTAAGTTGAATTGTCATCATGATCATATGATCCTTGTCATTCTCATCAGCAACAACATCAACAAGAGCAGCAACAGCAGCAGCAACATCGACGTTTCTTACTTAAAAAAATACATGGCATACAAACAACCTATGAAGCTGATTCGACCTCGTCCTTCGACGTGCGATTTTGATTTTCTGATTTTCTTCAGCATCCAGTTCTCTAAAGACCGACCACACCCACAGATGGAAAAATCGTTGGCGGTGTACTCTGCAGCAATCAGAATCTTCTAATCATCTGTGCTATAGGCCAAAGATTGTCATATTCTTGTAAAAAAAAAAAGAATTAATTTCTTTTAACTTCTGTGCGTGGATTGCCGTAGTTACAAAGGCGAACGAAAATGTCAGCACGGGGTAAACCTTTAATTATATCAAAATTATAGTTGTAATAACGGAAAATAAAAGTTAAACGGAAATAGAAGACTGCTCCTTAAAGTGCCACCCACCATAATAACAAGTATTGATCGGCTTGAAACACAGCTTGCACAAGTTTACCTCGTTTTCCGGTCTGGCAAAAACGCAGTATTCAGGATGATTATTGTGTGGTATTTTGAGAAACAAAAGACTTGCCATGCTTCTTTGTTTCTGGGGACGTAGATCTATGTGCATTTACGCGCTTACAATGTGTGATAAACTATGTACCGTACATGTATTTATTGTCTGGGAGAGAGATGAATGAATGGAAAGAGACAGAAAAATACAGACTGATAGCTAGAGAGAAATTAGAGGGAGAGAGAGAGAGAGGGAGAGAGAGAGAGAGAGAGAGAGAGAGAGAGAGAGAGAGAGAGAGAGAGAGAGAGAGAGAGAGACAGACAGAGAGAGAGACAGAGACAGAGAGAGAGAGAGAGAGAAAGAGAGAGAGAGAGAACTTGCTGCTTTGTCATTTAATTTAATGGTGTGCGTTCATGAAAGTGCTTGGTCCTTGAACGAATAAGACAAATATTTTCTTTTGATATCTACTTTGATATGGGGCGTGCTAACATGTTACATTTATAACCCCAACCTCTTCACTCTATCACCAAACAAACAATTACTAACAACCAAACAGCCAACCAATCAGATTACAAATTCAATTTGTTGTTGTAAGCATTGAAAGCCCTTACATTATACTTACAAGCAGAAATCAGTTGTTAAAAATTTGGTGGAAAGGTGGTGGGTGGGGGAGCAAAAATGATTAATGATAGAATAAACGTCCAATTAAATCTCACGCATGATAATTTCAGACCTGATTTTCATGGGTCCATAATTTAAAGGGACTGCTCTTCCTATGCATAATAATATGCTAGTTGTTGTTGTTGTTGTTGTTGGGTTTCTTTTAGTGTTTTTTTTGGGGGGGAGGGGGGATTTAGAGATTTAAACATAATATCATGCTTACGTTTTCCTTTCTGCACCAGCTTATAATCCTCTCCATCTTGTTATCTCTTTCACAGAACAACGTCCCCAATGGAAATCTTCTTCCATGCCAGCTAAGAACACTCGGTTTGAGACTATTCACGAAGGCAAAGATTTGGCTTTTGACTGCAAAGCACAGGGAAGGCCAAAGCCCAGTGTCACCTGGTTAAAAGATGGTAACCCTCTCATGGCAGATGATCGGACAGAGGTACATACTCTAGCAGTGACGTTAGGTCGTTCATCGACTCCCAATATTATTTGTATGACTATTAAGTTAACACTCTTCCAGACACAGAATTTTTCATTTTGAAGGCTCCTCAAGTTACCGGCAAAGAAGTCATTGCTCACCAACAACTGGTTCAGTCCCTTAGATAATCTGGTTTTGGCCTCAGTGATTACTATTCTAGCCTTACCCTTACCTCTAAATCGAACCCTAACCCAAACCCACAAAGTTATTATCAATATTTAATTATTCCTGGGGCTAAACTGGAGATTGCCGAATCCTCTCATCTTGTTATAACTCTTTGTCTATCAATACACCTCAAAAATCTATTACAATTTTCCCAGAGGAGTCATTGTTACTACTGCCATATCTTTTCTTCAGTGATGTGATTTTTAAAGCAAATTTCCAGTGCGGTCCATACTGGTGTCACTGATGTAATTGTTAGCTTCTACACTGATGCACACAGAAGATGTGAGTTTGATTCCAGGGTGGTGAAGGTTTTTAAAAAATCATGTATCTCCATCCGTGTGATAGGATGCTGTGTCCCACCCTGCCTGGGTTGTCCCTCACAAGCACACCCAAAGGAGCCTGCATCCTATATGATCTGAAATGTACGAATGGGGGACGTATAACATTTGCAGTTACAGCTACCTATGATTACAGTTGTGTTCAGTCTTGGCATGTGAGAAACCGATTTCCAGCCTTCAAAAGTCACTTTATAAACCACTAAAACCATTGATATTGCTCCCAAGTTCTTGCTTTGTTACTATTTTGCTTGATGCTTGGTTCCCAAACAGATTTGTTCTTTAAGAGGCAACAACAGAAGTTTATTTTCCACCAGCTGTATGACTGAGGAAACAATTTCCCTGAGCAATGTAAACTCTCTGATGAAAATAAAACACTTGACATTTCCTTGGAATCAGAAACAGCAGCCCTTGATTATAAGGGAAGGTCTTACCATTATACCTGTACCTTGTTGAATCTTCACCACTCAAGTTACATCAAAATATGTGCAAACTGCTTGAATTATTATCTTTCAAAAACACGCAAGTGGGTGGTTGGTGGCTGCTCTGGTGTGGTTTCTTCCTTCTTTCCTATCAAACATCTATCGCCTTTATCTCTCCTCCTTCTTCTTTTCTTCATATTTAACTCGCTACTGAACTTCTAATTTTTGGTACTTAAATGACCCCATTTGTGTTGCAAGTGCTGTAAACTCCAACTAAAGGTAAAGTTACCCCCCTCCCCCAAATATGAGCCCAGTTTGTATAAATGCTATGCATTATGGTTAGTGTCACCAATATGAGTTTCTTGAACTTTTGCTTTAAGGTCTATCCTGGAAAATGGGTGTAACATCAAAAGCCTTGACTTAAATAACTATACTATGATGACAGGACCCATAATAAACTATCAGTCAGTAATGGATCCTCAAACAGTATGTTATTATTCCCCAGATAAAGAAAGCCGGTGTTCTCAAGCTGAAATCAGTGACGACCCAAAACAGTGGCAACTACACATGCATGGTGTCCAACAACCACGGTCAGCTAGAGTGGACATTCCACCTTGATGTGCAAGGTGAAGGTGATCTGTGTATTTTGTTCACTTAGATGTCAATGGCTGCCTAATGGAACGCTTCTGCTTCTTGCCTTCTGCCCATGTGCAGAATTCTGCACTCCTTTCTATCAGCCAACATTCATCTAAAAACTTTGACCCTCCAGTTTTTGCATTCCTGTGTTTGACTGGGTTTTTTTTTCCACATGCATGGGGGTCTAATGGATCGTGATACTCCGCTCTTTGGCTGTTGGTTGCCTGGTATGCATGATGGGATACTGTGAAGAGAAAGGGTGTTAATACAAGTTAGCTCTAAGCATGCATTATTGCCCTGACATCAGGAATGACTATAGTCTTAGAGGATGGTTAGAATGTTCCACTAGTAGACTTAGATTAGGTGCCCAATTATAAAGCAGGAGAAATGTTTTTGTTATAAAATACAGTTTCTGTCATTTTCAAAAAAGCAAAATATAAATAACTTTGGCATCCAGAGAAGATTTTCCGCTTCATTACACTGAACCAAAGACTTGATTGCCAGTCTTCTTTCTCTGAATTTCTGAGCAGAATTACTGTTTTATCATGTTATAGAAATGTTTACTTTGATGTTAAAAAAAAAAGAACTAAAACTTGTGCTAACCCCCCCAACAAATCAGCTTACTGGCACCTGCAGCTGGTCCAATTTCCTAACAAGAACAATGCTTTGCATGCAAACAAGCCCAGCATACACGTCTGTCATGTTAATTGCATTTTTTTTCTTTTCTTTGCACCCCATGCCTTAGGAATCACTGATAAATGCCAAATACATTGCTAAATACTCATAAGGAAAATAAAAATAATGAACCTAAACAAAAAAAGGAAGTTTTGATGAAAGTTGTCAATAGCTGATCAGACACATCGTTCACTGAAGGTTTTGCATTGCATCATCAGAGTGTACAAATTCAACATCCATAATACACAGCACTGACGTGCCAGAGTGAAGGCATTGTTTTTATTGTGAAGATTTGAGTGCCTGTGACACTGACCCGAACTGTTTTGTGACTTCCATACAAATTACAACCTCCTCCTTTGATCAAGTGGTATGATTTCATTTGGGTTCTTTTCTACAAAAGTTATTAGAATTTGATAGGGTCTAACTCTTTGGTAAAATGCATCACATTAAGTTGGCGTTGCCAAGTACAAGGCGTCTGTGCATTATCACAAAATTCTGGCACAGTCAAAAGAGAATAGGCATGAATTTTAAGGTGTTTTTTTAGTAGGTCTGAAATGAGGAAGCTTATCTATGATGTGTTGTGAGCAGTGTCAACTTGCAGTGAGCTACAATCCTATTAACATCTATCCCCTGTGAACCTAAGAACTTAAAGGATTGTTTCACTCACATTGCAAAAAGATAGAGTGAGCTGTCTCTGAATGTCTGCGTTTCTTGATTTTCAGTGAAGATATGGCCTTTGGTTGTGGAAGGGCCCAACAACATCACCCAGATGGTGGGCTCTAGTGTGGCCTTCAGGTGTCGTGTACTCAATGACCCCACGGCAACCATCAGGTGGCAGCGGGTTGGACTCAAAACCGGAGATGATGATGCTCAACCAGAGGTAGGATTTGATTATAGTCATAATTATTTGTGACTGCCACTCACTGTCGGGGAGAAAAATGGTTGTCTGAGACTGATGGATGTCTTATACAGTGTCAATATAATATGTGTCACAACGCATTTGAATCAGGCGGTTGTCAGTTGTTGGGCGTATGGAGTTATCGGTGTCATTTTAAAGTTTGTTCGTATATCTTGCTTTTAAAGAAAAAAAAAGATGGCCCATCTATCTAAAATAGAAGTTGCAATTGAAGGAGGTGAAGGTTGCCTGGTTTTAGAGGAAAAGTTAGTTGGAAAATGGCGTCCAAAGTTTGTTGACTTCCAACATACTAGGCCTCTGAAACCCCCTTCCTACTCCCCCTAAATTCAGCTGTCTAAGACATAATTTTTTTCTGGCCTCCTTGTGATTCCGTCTTGCACAAGTTCGACTGTATACTGGAAAGCAAATGAAGTAAAAGTCTGGGTGTTCTACAAGCACTTACAGGGCTCAGCTAGTATATCCTGTGGTATTAATTTACAATTTAGAGCAGTCTGCTTCTTTTTTTCTTTGATGAGTATTAAATGACTGTCTTCGCAATGGTCAGAGTCTCCGAATGCAAACTTGTAGGCTGTCGGTCTCTCAAAGTGACTTATTGTTTTATAAAATATCTGCTGTTATATCTTTCAGCAAATTTTGCATTTATATTAGGACTCTATCCTCAGATTCCAGTAATGTAGTTCATTTTGCCATACATTGAATGAACTGTATTCCTGATATTTAGGTTTTGGTTGTTTAACAATTTTTTTGTTTTGACACCACTCCGAAAGTGACCTTGTGACATTGACATTGGACTTGGAAAATACTTATCTGCCCAGCTACTTTGCGTTATAAACAGTGTATAACTTTTTTATTGCATTTGATATGGATTTATGAAGATTCTCTCTAAACAAGGATGATAGTGCTCCTAAAGCTGAGGGAAAGTGCAACTTCTTTAAACTATTGTTCTTTTCTGACTCAGTTTATGCCGGATGGGGATGACCCACAAGTGCTGGCCCTACAGAATATCCAGAAGGAGGACGAAGGAGAGTACAGATGTATGGCTGGAAATGTTTGGGGTCTCAAACACAGCAAAGCCTGGCTGCATGTCATTGAGCCTGTGCTCATTCCAGACAGTGAGTATAGCTGTTATTGATTTTGTCTTGCCATTGATAAGAAAGTTAAATGTACAGAACAAAGTATTTTTTGCTTCAGTATTGTATGGGTTTATCTCTATAACTCCACAATTATTTTCATGTTTTAACAAAATTTTTTCCAGATCTCGTGAAACACATAACGGGGGATACACATTAAATATTCATGTAGCTAAAACTGTCAAAGTGAAAGAGGAAGTTATTTATTCAGTTATCTGTACACTACCGAGTCAAATAAATATATTGGGATTTGTAAAAGATTGCATTAGCAGTAATGCTTCATGCACTCTACCATCTGATTGGATGCTTGGACTGTCTACTAAGGGACCGGGCGAGTTGCACTGGAGGCTCCTATCATCCATCAGGGTTATAGAGTTAATACTCAACAAAGAACCACAGGTTTTGCGAGCATTAGGTCTAGAATTTTGAGTAGAGATGAAAGAAGATGGAAAGAAGAAAAAAGAAGTTCTAGAATTTTGAAAAAAGATTAAATATGATGGAAAGCAAAAAGGCAGGGGTGATACTGCCCCCAATGTTGTTGGCAGTAAGCAGTTACAAGTAGGCCTATGAATACATTTTAGTACCTAGCCTGCAAATGTCCATGTCTACAAAATATTTGTTATAACTTGTTCTGATGAGTACTATCCAATATTGACCTTACTCCGTGCAAAAGTAAGTTTACTCATTAATGATGCAGACTAAAAATACTATATCAGAATGGTACTATTTCTAAATCTAGGTCCCCACAACAGTGTAGATGTCTTACTATAATATTATGAGCTTTTAGTGCTGCCACTTGCTGCAGGGAACTCCTTTTAGTTTTAGTAAGAGTTTTACGGCACTTCCAACACAATAAGGTCATATAAGTGCTGAAGATTAGAAGTGTTACAAGAGAGTAACAAACACAAAAAAGGAGGAGAGATAAGGACGATACATGTTTGATAGGAAAGAAGGAACAAATCACATGAGAGTAATAATAATTGCATTTATAATAATAATTGCATTTATATTGCGCATATCCATGCTCAAGAGCATGCTCTATGCGCTTTACAACTATTATTATTACCCACCAACCGCCCGCAAGGAATTCCAACTTGATGCTGTAAATTTTCTTTTCTTAATCATTAATAGTCACAACATTTTTGTGTTATTTTCAGTGCACCTATGCAACGGAACCAAATAGTATAACTAGGGAGGAAAGTGTTGTCAGTATTTCCAGTGGAACACGGGCAGTCTTATGGATTATGGGCAACTGACATGTTCACAATTATTTTGTTTACAAATGTGGTAGCTGGGGGTGTTGTTTCTGTCTCTGTCCGATCAGGCCTTGATTGGCGAATATACTCAACTGATACTGTAGAACATGACTATAGCAGCACCCGCTGCAGGGGGACCATCCCTACAGCGGGACCTTAACAGAAACCCCTTTTTTTGGTCTATATAAACTGTTAACTGTGCTTGGATTTAACAAGGCAAGGAAAGGCCCGAACTTGGATACAGCTGGACCGATCGAATGAACTCTAGCTGGGGGAAGGGGGTTGAGTGGAGGAGGGTGGGGGCTGTAGGCGGGCTCCAAACAGGCAGTCAGGGGTGGGCGTTGTGATTGGCCAATTCAGTGATGAGTGAGGTGGGGCAGGTGGCAGAGAGAGATGGTGCGGAGAGACGCGTTACGTGAGCCACTCGAAAAGTGATGTGCCATAGCCTTAGGCCAAGGCTAGGCCAAAAAGACAGTAAAAGAAGAGGAGAGCATTTAGTTTGTGATTTTTGTTCCCCCTTTGCATTCCTATAGCAGGAACTTGCCTACAGCGGGATTTTTCTTCATAGGAAGTATAAGTTCAGCTATAGCCATGTTCTACTGTATTCCTTCCACAGAACTGTTACAGGTGAAATAATATTCAAATGATACAACGCTCATAATAAGAAGGTTATATTTTGAAAATAAATATATTGTTTATCAGTTTAGTTTTTATTGTGGTATATAGTGGAAAGTTAAAACATGATGAGTGAATGTTAAAAATTTGTTTTCCTTCAAATATTAAAAGTGCTTCCAAAATATCACAGTATTAGAATCGATTTGTGACTTTTTTTTTCAAATAATTAAACCAAACTTTTTATTTTCTATCTTTCCAGTGACGGGAACGGATAGGAACCCAAACCTGTATAACCCTGTTGACTCTGATCCACCAGAGCGTGGTACTTATGATTTTGGTCCAGACCTTTTCTTCACAACTACAAGACGCCCACGGAACCGCAACAAGGGACGCAAAAATGGACGCAGGAAGAACAAGAACAAGCATTTGGACATTTCAGTTGACAAGGGAAAGGACAAACCAGATGACGTTTTCAGTTTTCAACCCACAACGAAACCAACTACCACAGTTGCAACAACAACAGTGACACCAGAGGTGACTGAGAGGACACAGCCAGTGACAAATAGACCAGATATCTGGGAGTTTGAGGATAGAAATAACTATTACGATGGAGTGCCTGACTCGAGATACTATCCTGCCAAAGACAAAGATGATGATGAGATGGACGTAGTTACAGGAAGATCGGAACAAGATAAGACACCCAAGGGCACAATCAGCTCCTGGACAATTTACACAATTGTTGGTGCTGTTGGGGGCGTGGTACTTTTGGTTGGATTGATTGCAATTACTCTGACCCTCTGCTGTAAGAAAGAAGAAGGGGGTGTGTACAAGTCAACACCGGTTTAAATGAGTTTACTGTTTCATGGTTTAAAAGGGAATGCCTGTGTTTTGCTACAAATGTATGTTATGATGGGAGAGAATGTTGTTAGAAAGAGAGAGATTTGGTGGGTGAGGGAGAAGAGAGAGAGAGAAAGTAAGAGAAGGACAGAAGGGGGGAGGGAGAGAAAAAGAGAAAGAGAAAAAGAGAAAGAGTGTAAGAGAGAGAGAGAGAGAGAGAGAGATTGTGTGTGTG